TGTGCGCGAGGCGCTGCTGGAATGGGCTTGCAGCTGGGCGCTGGCGAGGCATCAGGATCTGCGCGCGCGGCATTGTCAAGGCGCGTGACGTTGTTGCCATTGGCCAGCCACTGGGCGCTGGTGAGAGGAATCGGTGGGGCGACAGAGGCGCATGCGCGCTTGTCACTTGGTGCAGCCAAGACCACGGGGCCGACCATGGCGCTATGCATTGTGAGGCTTGCTAGGCCGCCATGGGGCGCGGCCAAGGGGTCGTGGGGCGTGTCTGGAAAGCAGCCCATGACATATATCACACGTTTCTTACGAAGTTCGGGTTTGACTTTCATTTCAAATGCAATTTTCTTGGCAGAAATCATACTAGTTGCAAATCCTTTTACCCCTTAAGCTTTCAAAACCATAAGTTTTTTTTCTTAAACTCCGTGGCGAGTCAAACAAACTCATCTAAATTGAAACATATAAAGTATATAATATATTAGGTGTAACAAAAAATGGGGCATCCACAAATGTGGGGCCTAAAGTAGTTGTTTTACCTGCTTTAGGGCAGGGCCGCCCTTGATGTATTAAATTCTCGTGGTTTTGATTGTGCATGAACTTAACGTGCAAGTTTGAGCTTCATGAGGTGGAAAGAACAGGGCATTCGCTTGTTGAAGGGGACTTCATTTACTGTAAAGCATATATCTGTTGCTCTTTCCTAAACTTATAATAGACACTCTTCAAGAGATGTCCCACATAAAATAATCTTGGTGTCTCTTGTGTTTGGTTGTGTCACAACCCCAAATCCCACTAAAGTCGTGATGCCGTCTAATTCACTTGCTAAAGAAGCCAACAATCACATCAATAAAAGAATTCAATTGTGAAGCCATTAACCGATTCACAATATAAAAGCAAAGCCGAATAAACTATAACTCAAATACCAAATGTGCATAAAACTCATATAGGGTCCACACAAAACCAAAATTGTCTCATAAACTCTCCCAAAACATGGGTGTCACAGCTAGTCACAACTCACAATCATCTAATAAGAGTACAAGATCTCCACTAAATACAAGGTCTGTCCGAAAATGACGAAGATACAAAGACAGATACAAGCATCTGATAAGAGTACAAGATCTCATGTGCTGCGGATCGCATCAAGTAAGCAGCATACCACGAAAAGGTGAATACCTCCAAAACCAGTCTTAGAATTAGCACAAAATATATAGAAGTGTAATATGAGTACAAAACCACGGTACTCAATAAGTATCTAATCTAACTTCAAATAAGTAATTATAAGTTGTCAACAGTCAGACCTACTAACCGCTTAATAATCATAAGATGCATAAACAACATACGGGAAGTGAGTGGAGAAGGTAATACCTCATTTTCTTTACCTTCACACTCAGATTGATGTTTTCTAAGATGAAAACGAGAGAGAAGCAATTTCAGAAGGCAATGATAAAAGCACAAGCGAGTCACCCAAGTAAAAGAATCTTGTTTCTGATCACTATGGTAAGACATCACATATCAAACAGTACTTTCTAGTTGAAAAATAAAAATAATAATATGGCAACAACGAGGACCATCTTGGTATTGTTGTTCAACATTTCTTTTTATCCCTGTGACATGCTTTTTTAGTCACAGAAATGTAATGGCATATTTAAGATCATATTTAAGATCCTCTATTTCTATCTTTAACTCTGTGCCCTATAAAATAATGTTACGTAAAATTAAACGGAGGGAATATCAATTTAGAATGCAATGAGACTATAGTTGGTCATTGATACTAGTGCTTTATAATATGTCTATGCCAAGGAAAGATCGGAATTTCCTTTCGTTAATTCGTTATTACTTTGAGAATTTAGTTTATATTTGAGCAAATGCTACTCCATGTTCCATTTTCAAAAACCAGTCCATATCCAGAAGAAAGGTTATAATACTTACAGGTAAACGTAGGACAAAATTTCTCCAATTAGGTGAGTGATCTACATCCAGATAAGGAACTCAGTGAAGGAAAGAGAACCTTAATTCCTGCAAAAGAAACTCACGAACCATTTAGGAACGTCAGACGCCTGTATGAATCAATCTCCAACATCTACTTATCTCTGCCAAAACAAACGACAAACAATGATGTAATGTATCTCATACAGCTAAAACTTAATACAGATTGGAGACAAATGAACCAGCATAACAAATAGTAAAAGAACAGAATTTATACCATGTTAAATAAGGAAAACCAGGAAACTATAACAAAGAAATTGTCTCTAAGACTATAATCATGTAGGCGGAAAAGGTAAAGCACATAAAAGGGTGCTTTAGAAAGAAGTTGAGAAAACAAAGATTTAATCAGTCAATTCAGTTATTGTACACATAATATCCCCTAAGGGTAGACAAGACTTCATAAATCAAAAATAAAAGATCTTATAATCTAAGAAAAATCATCCTCTACAAAGATTAGACTAAAATATTGCATGATGCGAGCAAAATCCATCAATTTTTAGGAGTCAACAAAAATGCAGTCAACAATCCAAGGATAAAATCAAAATAAATCAATAAACTGAAGCAAGCTTTGTGACGCTTCTTCAAATACAAAATATTAAATATCTACAAAAGTTATTGTAGATTAGAGATTTCTCGGCACATTTTTAATTGTTCAAGGAATTAAACAAACTGTAAAACAGGAGAATAAGTTGTTCTATATGCAGATCATCTATTTAAGAAATCTGTAACCATCAATCAGCCAAGATAGTCAACTGTCATGGGCTCGTGCGATAATAATGAAGATATTTAGGTGAAGATTAGCTTAATCATACTAAAATCATAGAATGTGAATAACATAGATGATTAACATATAGTGAGTATACAGAGCATCCCCCTTCACTGATGGCTTGAAGTCAAGCTTTACACAACACTACTGTTACGCAACGCCTTCCTGATGTTCTTTGGAAGGGCAACGTAAGGCTAAGCAACCGATGTCAGTGCGGTTGTTGTCCGCCAATGAGGTCCCCTCAGCACGCTAGACTAGATTGTCAGTGCCGTGCGGGAAAACCAATGTCATGAGCAATTGCGGAAGCTGAGAGAGAATTGGGTTTTGAATGATGATGATGATTTTATTGATGAATGAAAATGTTGATTACAAAGATGCGGTGTCGAGGGGGAGAGACACCAGAAAATGTTTGCTTGAAAATATTTGATTGTTTGGTCCCCCTTAATAATGCTTAAAAAAAATAAACCAACATTACATGAC